GGTTAAAAATAAGGGAAGAGGCAAGTCACAACTGGGAGAAAATATTTGCATGTCTAATAAAAGACTTGTAGCCAGAATTTATAAAGAATTCTTAGACTTCGGTAAGAAGACAATACAGTAAAAAAGAAAAGAACCAATTTTTAAAATAGACAACATCGCTGGACACAGTGGCTCACGGCTGTAAATCCAGCTACTTGAGAGGCTCGGGGGAGGATGGCTTGAGGCCAGGAGTTGGAGACCAGCCTGAGCAACGTGACAAGACTCCAACTCTTTGATATGGCTGTGTCAGGAGGATTGCTTGAGCCCAGGAGTTCAAGGCTGCAGTGAGCTCTATGATGACACACCCCTGCACTTCAGGCTAGGCAACTTAGTGAGACCCCTGTTTCTCAAAACAATTAAAATAAAATTAGGCGACAAATGTGGACAGTTTTTGAAAGGAAATATATGAATGTCATATAAATATGTGAAAAGATTTGCAACATTATTAGTTATCAGAGAGGCCATTAAAATACAAATGCAATATTACTTCACACCCATTCTAGGGCTAAATTTAAAAGACTGGCAATTTCAGGTATTGGTGAGACTATGAAGCTACTGGAACTCTCATACATTGTTTTTGGGAATATGAAATGTCACTACCAGTTTTAAAAATAGTTTGCCAGCTTTTTATGATGGGACAGGTATGCTTACCATACCCAACAATTCTATTCCTATGTATTTCCCAAGGAAAGTGAAATTTTTGCTACATCATTTATTGTGCTACTTTATAATTGCCAAAAACTGGAAACAACCTAAATGTTCATCAGCAGATGAATAGCTAAACAGATTATATTATATCCATACAATGGAATACTGCTCGGTAATAATAATAAAAAAAAAAGCAACAAACAGCTACAACCCAGCAACACAAATGAATCTCAGAAGTACTCAGAGTGAAAGCAGTCAGACACAAAATGGTACATAGTTTATGATATGTGAGGTCTTAGAACACGCAAGATGAATCTATCATGAAATAAAACAAATCAGTGGCTACCTGGCTAGGGGGATTGATTGCGAATGTATACAACGTAATATATTGGGATGATGGAAATAGTCTACTTTTGATTTTTATAGTGGTTACACAGTTGTGTACATTTATCAAAATTCATCATACGGTATTCTTTCTATGGATCCATCTTATTATATGTAAATCATACCTCAGTAGTTTCCTTTATGGTCAAGCCTCCTGTGATTTTTTTTTTCCCCCTCTCTCCCTTAAATTCAGATATTATGTATTCTTCTGAATTTACCATGGTGTTTGTTTGGTCTTCTCCTTTCTTCTTCTTTGTCTCCTTCTCTTCTACTAGGCTATAAGCTGTTATTCATCTTTGTTTAACCCCTAGCATCTTGCTCATTGTAATCTTCCAATATAATGCTTGTTAAACAGAGTTGATTTACTGTAAGGAAAGAATTCTCAGCCACTGCTTTCATTACAGTTCTGAAGTCTGAAAAGAATTATAATCCAGACATTAGCAAGACCAAGCCTATAAAACAGCTATGAGTTGATGATAGACTTTCTTAGGACAGTCTTAATTTCATACTGTAGGGTAGACTCATTTTACATTCTGTAGCACTGGGTGGTGGACACATGAAAGACGAGCTCCTGGGCGCTGTGGAAAATTGTCTTTAAGGCAAGTAGGCTTGTGCTATTGCAAAGGTCTGGAGGATTTAGGTAAATTAGACTAAGTGACAATGTATTTGATTCCAATAATGAAAGAAAATTAGAATCACAGAAGCTTGGTGCTAGAAGATGCCACGGATGCCATTTAATCCAACCCATTATTGTACAGACCCAGAGAGGTTAAGTAGCCTGCCCAACACCATGTAGCAAATTAGAGATAGAGTTAAGACTGGAAGCCAGGTTTCAAGTACCATACCTAGAATTTAACAAAGTAGAAAATTTGCTGCCTATGAAAGTTCTAATGAGTTGGCTTTCATTGGGTTGGAACTTGTTGTTTAAACGTGAGTTCGGAAGCAAACTGGATAGGTAACAGAGCAAGAGCCAGCAGTCATTACCAGGGTCAAGCCAAAACTGTAGCCTTGGAGCCTGGGTGTAGGGCCAAGAGCTGGCTTATGTTTTCCTGGTGATGTCTTTGCTTCATGTACTGCTTGAGAAATACTGATCTCATCTATAATTAAAATCTATTTTGTATAATGTTGAATTTTCTACAGTAAGAATATGCTGTAACTTTTTGAGGAGTTCTTAGTACAGTTGACTCTTGAACAAGATAGGTTTGAACTGTGTGGGTCCACTTACGCTGGCTTTTTCTCAACAAAAGAAGGATTGAAAAAACAGCATTCTTGGCATGTGAAACCCACATGCACAGAGGGCCAACTTTTTTTATATGTGGATTCCACAGGGCCAACTATGGGACTTTGAGTGTATCAGGATTTGATTATACGTGTGTGGTCCTGGAACCAACCCTTCACATTTACTGAGGGATAACTATGTATAACCTAGAATATTGTTGAATTCAACAGGAATGTTAAAACAATCTGAATGGAGTTAATCTCCCTCTTTCTAGCATTCCTTTTTCACTACTTTATGTTCATGTGTATATTTATTGGGGATTGAGGAGTGATCACAGATGATATTTTGCGTTTTATTGGTTTTGCACTTCATTTTATTTTTTATTATTTATTTATTTATTTTTGAGACAGAGTCTCACTCTCTTGCCTGGGCTGGAGTGCCATGGTGTCAGCCTAGGTCACAGCAACCTCAAACTGCTGGGCTCAAGCAATCCTACTGCCTCAGCCTTGTGAGTAGCTGGGACTATAGGCACGCACCACCATGCCTGGCTAATTTTTTCTATATATTTTTAGTTGTCCAGCTAATTTCTTTATATTTTTTTAGTAGAGACGGGGTCTCACTCTTGCTCAGGCTGGTCTCGAACTCCTGAGCTCAAACAATCCGCCCGTCTCGGCCTCCCAGAGTGCTAGGATTACAGGCGTGAGCCACCGCGCCTGGCCGCATTTTATTTTTTAATAACAATATTAAGTCAGTTTTATAATTAAAAGTGATTTCAGGTGGTCATTTTGAATTTTAATGATGAAAAACATTGAAATACAAAAGACAGCTTTGAAAGTTATAGCAAACCATTCTCCTTACGTGGACCCATCAAATGAAAGCATAATAGCGTGGATGCTTGATGAAGGAATAGAAGCTGCTGCTTTTTAATGTATTCACTCCACTCTCGGTATATGGATGCAGCCTCCAAATTTTACAAAGAAAATAATCATCAGCACAGCATCTCTGCTTCTTTCCTATGGATTGGTCTTTTTGTAAAGCAGCTTCATGGTTTTCATAGTAAAAGTATTTTATTTCAAAATATATCTCTAGATACTTACTCCTGGTAGGCCTGGGAAAATACAGATTACTTCATGTCTCTTCAAAATTCCTTTCGAAGAAACAAGTCAAGCTCAATTTGTGTTTTAGAGATAGAGCAAAGTAGTAAGGTAGGAGGATAGAGGAAATCTTAACATTGCTTTGAAGGGAACAAAAAATATTTTATTCCTTTGTTGACCCTAGCTTCTGCATTAGTCATAGGTCCCTCCCTCCTTGGCCACGGGCGGGCCAAAGAAATAGCAGCAATTTTCAGTTTTGCAAAAGGACGATACAAAGAGAAGAAAATGGCTGATAGAGAAAAATGAATCGGTTTACTTCCCTCTCTAGGTTTTTATAGTTGATTTTTATTTGTTTATTTATTTTTTTATTTTTTTTTTTAAACAGAGTCTCACTGTGTTGCCCAGGCTAGAGTGCCGTGGCGTCATCCTCGCTCATAGCAACCTCAAACTCCTGGGCTCAAGCGATCCTCCTGCCTCAGCCTCCCGAGTAGCTGGGACTACAGACATGCGCCACCATGCCCAGCTAATTTTTTCTATGTATTTTTAGTTGTCCAATTAATTTCTTTCTAATTTTAGTAGAGACGGGGTCTCACTCTTGCTCAGGCTGGTCTCGAACTCCTGAGCTCAAACAATCCGCCCGTCTCGGCCTCCCAGAGAGCTAGGATTACAGGCGTGAGCCACCGCGCGGCCTATATAGTTGATTTTTAGATTAACCAATGGTTTTTAGATATCTGTCCTCCTCCTTTGCTCCTTATTTCACTGTTTTTGATGTTATAAAATACAGTGCTAAGTTCCTAACCCTAATTGTGAGATAGTATTCAAAGTCCAATTTTTTAAAATGTTATAGTGAAAGTCTCCTAGAATGGAAAGCTAGTGGATATAGTTAATACGGATGTTGGAAACAAAAACTTTTTCTCTAGTAACTTGTGTTTAGATCGAGGGCCTGCAAATTAATGAACAATGGACAGATTAACCAGGGAAGAAATAAGGTTTATTCACACTTATGGGAATACTCAGTAATTGGTAACTCTCTGAAGAGTTTAGAAGAGTATAGAAGTAAGGGTTACACACCAACTTAACAAAAGGAAGTGAGTTTAGGTAGTCAAAGGACAGAAGATTCTAATGCAGCTCATTTACACAATTTTTTTGGAATGTAGCTGTTCCCAAGATCTGTTGTTTCCCTTACTGGAGAACTCCTGGGGAGTTCTGAGGGTTGTGACAACTGCCTCAGTAAAGCTCTGCTTTAGTCAGATAAGGGAAGTGCAGATAAGAGTTCATTTGGCATCTGCTGTTGAATTTTTGGGGGCCTTCACTGGTTTTTTTAATACTTGTACATAGCCTGATGATTTTCAAAGTATTTTCACATATCTCATCTGATTCTCACAGGACTTTTTAGGTAGACAGGGAAAATATAGTTATTCCCTTTCACAGTTAAGGAAACTGAGGCTCTGAGAGATTAATTATTTGTTCAGAGCCACACAGCTAATAACAGAGTGAAGATAAGAATTTCAGGTATTCAGCATTTCTCATTATGCCTTTGGGGTTGAATAATTTATTGTCAATTTATAAGTGCTTTAAAGAGGCCAAGGTTGAGTGATGTTTTATTTGTTTTGTAGGAGAAGATGATGTAAACTGGTTCATCAGTGAAAAAGATATTGAGGTAAGATCAAATTGTTTTTGAAATTCTGAATAACAGGTTAATAATTTCCTTTGAGTCTGTCTTATTATGATAACTTTTGGAACATTGATCAACTTTTTTCAAATAGCAGTGATCTTAAGGGGCTTTTAAGAAAATGTTTGACATTTAGTACATGAGTGATTTAACTCTTCAGAAACTTGGTTCAGCCTTGGTTTTTGTCAGTCACTGAATAGCCATTATCATTTAGTCCCCTTTCCCTTTTTATTTCTTCTCTGCCATGGTAAGGCCCCCTCAGCCCTTATGGCCTGGTACCACTACAGATCAACACTGAAAAGAACTGCTGCTTTGGTGTAAGGAAATGGTTAGTCTATTTTCAGGATGTGCAGGTGTTTATCTTTGTCATTTATTATCCTTAACTGTGGCAGATGCTAAAAACTAGAGAGAATAATCAAAAGTTTTAAGAGATAATGAGATTGTATCTACTTGTAGCCTACTGAGCCAGTTCAGCAGAATAACAAATAAAAAAGATGAAAACTTTTTCTAAGATGGAATTCTACCAAACAAGATAAAAGCATGGTTGGGATTTACATATTCCTCTTTAGATATTCCATATGATATACTTTGCTAAAGATAAAATTATAAAAACACCATCCCCTAAATAAAAATTTATGGAGGCCTCTCATTTGGAAAAATATGGTATACATTCACTTATAGAAGTCACAGTGACTTTGACTCTGAATGCTACTGGAGTGTCTAAATGATGCATATCAGTACTCCTGCTAGACCTGAGAAAGATACAAAAAAAAAAAAGGAATCACTTGGAGAACTGTGAAAGAATGGGCAGGAGGGGCAGACAAAAAGGAGTAGAGTTATCTTTATGGCACCTCCTTTTATGTTTTTCTACCTCTTTTTAAGAGAACAGGAGAGATCATGAAATTCCCTGTTACTAGATTCTATATTGAACTGAAAGGACTGTTAATTCTCTTGTCTCAACAAGGTAATGGAACTGACTTGAAGTTTGATGTTTCTTTACTCACTGATAGTTGTCTTTAAAAAGAAGAGTAGATGGTTTTTATTAAACAGAGTGAAACATTTTTTTTTAATTCTTGATTTTCTTTCCCTTCTTAGGCCCAGATAGCTAATAACAGATCACCTGGAAGATTGGCCCAGCGATACTATACAGACTACAAAAATGTTATCTGTAGAAATTGTGACAAACGTGGCCATTTGTCAAAAAACTGCCCCTTTCCACGTGTACGTAAAATATGTAATACTTCTTTTCGTGTTTTAAAATCAAAATCATAGGGTTGGAAACTTACAACTTTAGAATTCAAATTTTTTTGTAATAGGTGTGTTAAATTTCATGTGGGTCACAGCCTAGTCTAGGGGAAAGAACAATCTATTTAGAGTCAGAAAAAGCTGGAATCAATTTCAGTTTCCCATTACGAGTTGTATGACCTTGGCCAAATCATTTAACTCTCTGTGCTTTTGTTTTCTTATATATAAATAAGAAGATTGAATGAGATGATTCCTGAGACCCCTTTCACTTCTAAACCTTCTACTTTATGACACAGCTTATTTCATTGTGGGTTAATTTTCACTGTTAAAAAATTATAATTTTAGTCATTTATAAACATTTGTTAATATGAATTCTGTTAAGCAGGTACATTAAGCTTTGTAACAACACAGAACTGAAGCTCTTAGACATTCACTAACACGTAGTAAGATCTTAACAGACATTCCTTTCATTACCTATTCTGTCATCCAAATGACTGTCTCTCAAATACGTGGGACAGCTCTCATGTTTCCTTTTTGTTTGTGCTTCTCTAGGCAAAACAGCTTCTTCTGTATCTGTTCCTCCTATGACTTACCTTTCAGATAACCTCATCATTCCATGTTCCCTCTAAGATACCTTTCATTTTGTCAATATTCCTATAAGACAAGGCATAGCAAATAAATGCCAACCTGTGCAGACTAAGCCTTTATGGCATCAACACTATACAGATAGCTTAGATTAAAGCTCTAATTTCAACATTTTGTTTGAATTATGCTCAAGATTGGACCTTGATTGGGGTCTTAAATTAGGAATAACTTTTTATGGGATTATATACTAAGAAGAATAGCAATCTCCTACTATTTGCGATTGAAGTATTTTACTAAAGAGATTTTATGTTTTTCTGCCACGTAGAAAGCTCGTCCGTGCTTCCTGTGCTCCGAGAGAGGACACTCCATGTATTCCTGTCCAGCTGCCCCTTGCATAAATTGTCCTATGCCTGAGAAATTTGGCCATAAATGTCTTTTCCCATATGCCTGGTCTAAAGAATGTGACCGGTGTCATATGCGAGGCCACTATACTGATGTGAGTATCTTGTGTATAACTAATTTAATAGGCTTTGGGGGCATTGTGCCAATTTGTTTCTAATAGACTACTTAAAAGAATGTTTACTCTGCATTATCCAGAGTGATAGTCATTCCCTTTGGCCATTGAACATGTAAAGCAGGGCTCTAAATATCAGGGTTAACATCCTACTGTTCAGGAGGCAGCATCAACAAATATTTTAAGTCTATGGTAGTTCCTTTCTTTGATGTGTTTGCCAAGTAAACCTTAAAATTAAAGAGATATGTATTAAATAATATGTAAAATTTGTGTATATGTTAACACGTATTTAAATGAAAATATACGCACACTTAGCAGTTGTATATGAGTGGCTATGTGAAGGTTGGTTTGATGCTGATTATTGATGGTTCTTTCTGGCATAATAGTATAAGGAAAGAAGGACAAGCCACCCAGTACTTTAAATATGTTTGTCTTATTAGCTCTTTATTTAGATTTAAATAACAACAGTAATTGTAGCACATTAAAAATGCTATTTTGGACATTGTTTACATCATATTGTTAATGTATATGGAGTTCTAGGCATAATTTCAGAGACCAGAAAGGCTAGTGAAATAAGTAGATACAGCTTTGATGTGGAATATGTAGTTTTCTACATTCAATTTACTGCTAACTCTTATTGAATGTCTCATTAAGGTCTGTCATTTTAGCTCTTAATTGCATCTCTTACTACATAGTAACATATGTTTATTTTATAGTAACAGCTAATCAGTACAGAGTCATTTTTCATATTCATACCTAGGTGCCAGTCCTAATTGGTTCAAAGGACATTTATCAAAGGATTAGCTCTCATTCTCTTTTTTTAAGCATTACTTATCTATTTAAAAAAAA